CTCAATTTAAGTACAAATTTTTTGAGAGATTTGTACTGAAAGTGAGTATTTTGCACTCAATGTGAGAATTTTTGTTCATGCTGAATTTTTGAGTACAAAAATACTCGATTTGAGTACAAATTACTTAAATAATTCTCTCTGTGTAGCGGCTCATTACAAACTATTTCCCTGTTTATATCTATAGGTGCATAAACTTTAATCTAAGGGGCTACTTTTTGGGCGGGCGCGATTTGTATCGCCGCCACTTGGCTGGCCAGTTCCTGAATAGTCTGACGTATTTGATCTTCCCTACACTGGCCGTCTGCGGCCGCTTCCTGTAGGGCATGGTTAACGGCAGCCTGTACGACCGCCTTTATTCGGTCTGGGTTAAATGCCATATTTATGACTGCGGATGTGCTAGCGTTTACACTTTTCGCTGTAGAAGCTCTGGTCGGCCCTTAGGTCGCGGACTCAGAGTCGCTGTCGAACTGTTTGTTACTCCTATATTGCTGGAACGGGTCGCTCATATGGAGCTGTGTAAGCTAAATCGCAATAGCGAATTAATCAGTCTTGCCCATGGATATGGCGAGGGGGCTGCGGGGGCTGAGTCTCCGCTTGGTAACGAAGGAACAAAAAATTGCCACAGTCGAGGGACCGTGGTGGCTAAGCTGCCGCTCTGATGGACAAAAAAGCGAAGCTAACAAAATTGGAATACAAACGTCGGGGTGTCGAGTTCGAGTGTTGTAGTGGAGTGGGGAGCGACAAAAAGACAAACCCAAGATTGTTGCGAAGCTAACACAAAGAATTTCGGTGCAAGCAAAAAAAAAACAACTACATATAAAGGGTGAATTAAACGCACATAATTTAAATGATACAGTGACAGTCGCCCAAAAAATAATTCAATAAATGCAAAATTAATTTATTTTCCAGCAGCGCCTTTGCGCCTAGTCTAGGATATTTAATAAGTCTGGTGGATATATGGGCAATAATGTTTGGCACTAAGATATTTATTTTAAAAATTTAAATAATGCAAACAACATACAACGATAAACATTTACAATATCACATGTGATAAGACCAATTAAATTGTCAAACAATTAAAGAGTATGTTAATTAATAAAAATGTTCAAACGCAACTTTAATACGGAGCTGCAGAAAATATTCTGGCAGTGTATGTATTTAAATATTTAACAAATGCAGATGCCGGGAAAATATATGTATGAGGGGCTCACTTACATGGTTTCGCAATTTTATATCAATGAGTAATTCACGGTGGGCGCCAATTAGGTTTAGTATGGGGGTAGCTGCAGAAGAGTCCCGCGCTGCAGTCCTCAATCAGTAGCCGGTTGGCCGATGGTCAAAATTTATGTGATCTCTGGAAGTGATATTTGTCCAGCTTCCTTCGCAGCAGCTCTCGATTAGCTGCCGGTAGTCGGTTGATTAGCTTCTCATCTACTGAAGATCTACTGATTACGCTGGAAGGGTAACTGCCCTCCGTTCGCTGATGGCCTAAAGACTCAGTCAGTGTTTAAGTAATAAGAAGTTATACGGCTGTTGCCGGAGTTATTTCAGAATGAACTTGTGTTCTTTGTTCTTTGAATGTTGAAAATGAACTGAATCTTAAAGCTAACATATACTATGTTTATGCTAAGGATTTCATGATTTCTTAAAAGCGTGAAATAAAATTTGCTCCTGTTTATGCGACACAGCCGAATTCATGCTTTTTATCAATCTCAGCTGACAGAGATGCCGGACCGGTGGAAAAAAGTGTTAGCGATTATAAAACCGGTTTTTTTTTTTCGATTAGCATGAAATAATCTTGCTTGTATTAAAGATAAAGTGTGTGCAAGCCAGTATAACATTTTTTTACCGTTCAAAAAAAAGATGAAAACTAGTTTCCATTGGCACTGAATGAACAATAAATTTGTTAAATGTAAGGTGTATTTATGTATTTATATCGATCTGACAACTCCGATAATTATATAGAGTTACCGGAGTTTAATTTTGACCGTTTCACGCTTTCAGGTTGAATTCATAGTCAACTTTCGTGTGTTGCCGAATTCACGAAATGGCGTTTATGCACACACGAATCGGCTGAAATCGCGAAATGAAAGCGTGAATTCGGCATCGCATAAACACAGTAATAGTTGAACTTCATAGCGGCCACTCCAATGGGCAGTGCTTGCCGGCTGTACATAAGCTTCCGGCCAGACGCTGTGTCAGCAGTTTGGCCGGAGCGGACTTTTGGGCGATCGGTTAATGCCGTCGCCCGGCTGAGTTAGTTAACTTCTACATAATGTAAACGCAAGTGAAAAAGACGAAAAAATGCGCGTGACTTCCAGAACAACAACAACGGTTCCGCTAATCCGTTGTTGTTCTGTTTTTTGGCATGTCCCGTTCGGTCTATGCCCCTTCCATTGCACATACAAGCAGGACATTTATAGACATATCCGACTCTGCAAATAGTTATAAAAAAATATATTTTGAAAACTTCACTAATTAATAAATAATATTAATAACACATATACTTTTTTTTAAAAGAAATTCAAGTATTTTAAAGCCCCACCAATTATTTTAATTGGTTGTATTTACATTTACGTGGTGGCTAAGCTGCCGCTCTGATGGACAAAAAAGCGAAGCTAACAAAATTGGAATACAAACGTCGGGGTGTCGAGTTCGAGTGTTGTAGTGGAGTGGGGAGCGACAAAAAGACAAACCCAAGATTGTTGCGAAGCTAACACAAAGAATTTCGGTGCAAGCAAAAAAAAAACAACTACATATAAAGGGTGAATTAAACGCACATAATTTAAATGATACAGTGACAGTCGCCCAAAAAATAATTCAATAAATGCAAAATTAATTTATTTTCCAGCAGCGCCTTTGCGCCTAGTCTAGGATATTTAATAAGTCTGGTGGATATATGGGCAATAATGTTTGGCACTAAGATATTTATTTTAAAAATTTAAATAATGCAAACAACATACAACGATAAACATTTACAATATCACATGTGATAAGACCAATTAAATTGTCAAACAATTAAAGAGTATGTTAATTAATAAAAATGTTCAAACGCAACTTTAATACGGAGCTGCAGAAAATATTCTGGCAGTGTATGTATTTAAATATTTAACAAATGCAGATGCCGGGAAAATATATGTATGAGGGGCTCACTTACATGGTTTCGCAATTTTATATCAATGAGTAATTCACGGTGGGCGCCAATTAGGTTTAGTATGGGGGTAGCTGCAGAAGAGTCCCGCGCTGCAGTCCTCAATCAGTAGCCGGTTGGCCGATGGTCAAAATTTATGTGATCTCTGGAAGTGATATTTGTCCAGCTTCCTTCGCAGCAGCTCTCGATTAGCTGCCGGTAGTCGGTTGATTAGCTTCTCATCTACTGAAGATCTACTGATTACGCTGGAAGGGTAACTGCCCTCCGTTCGCTGATGGCCTAAAGACTCAGTCAGTGTTTAAGTAATAAGAAGTTATACGGCTGTTGCCGGAGTTATTTCAGAATGAACTTGTGTTCTTTGTTCTTTGAATGTTGAAAATGAACTGAATCTTAAAGCTAACATATACTATGTTTATGCTAAGGATTTCATGATTTCTTAAAAGCGTGAAATAAAATTTGCTCTCAGCTGACAGAGATGCCGGACCGGTGGAAAAAAGTGTTAGCGATTATAAAACCGGTTTTTTTTTTCGATTAGCATGAAATAATCTTGCTTGTATTAAAGATAAAGTGTGTGCAAGCCAGTATAACATTTTTTTACCGTTCAAAAAAAAGATGAAAACTAGTTTCCATTGGCACTGAATGAACAATAAATTTGTTAAATGTAAGGTGTATTTATGTATTTATATCGATCTGACAACTCCGATAATTATATAGAGTTACCGGAGTTTAATTTTGACCATTTCACGCTTTCAGGTTGAATTCATAGTCAACTTTCGTGTGTTGCCGAATTCACGAAATGGCGTTTATGCACACACGAATCGGCTGAAATCGCGAAATGAAAGCGTGAATTCGGCATCGCATAAACACAGTAATAGTTGAACTTCATAGCGGCCACTCCAATGGGCAGTGCTTGCCGGCTGTACATAAGCTTCCGGCCAGACGCTGTGTCAGCAGTTTGGCCGGAGCGGACTTTTGGGCGATCGGTTAATGCCGTCGCCCGGCTGAGTTAGTTAACTTCTACATAATGTAAACGCAAGTGAAAAAGACGAAAAAATGCGCGTGACTTCCAGAACAACAACAACGGTTCCGCTAATCCGTTGTTGTTCTGTTTTTTGGCATGTCCCGTTCGGTCTATGCCCCTTCCATTGCACATACAAGCAGGACATTTATAGACATATCCGACTCTGCAAATCGTTATAAAAAAATATATTTTGAAAACTTCACTAATTAATAAATAATATTAATAACACATATACTTTTTTTTAAAAGAAATTCAAGTATTTTAAAGCCCCACCAATTATTTTAATTGGTTGTATTTACATTTACGAATGTCGCATTGTTTAAAAGGCAAGGGTGCACAAAAGTCGAGATATTTTAATGGCTGGGCCTCCTTGCCTTCACCCGCATTTTTCCAGCGGCAGAAGAGCCCAAAAGTACATTTTGTGCGTTCTCTGTGCGGACCCCGACCCGTCTCTTTGCCACCGTTGCGCACAGCTCTGCCGGCTCCGCTGGCTGCTCTGCCGACGTCGCAGTCGACTTCGTGATGATTAGGCGCTTATACTCAATTGTAGAACTGCAGGGATGCAACAGCTGGGAATAGGAGTCATTTTTCATCTGCACTGACCTCCTGCAGTCGTTTTTTGGTGTTTCCTTCTATTCCACCGCCAAAGATAAAATTTCTTATTCTTTAAGCCTAGTACTCAGATCGACGAAAACCGCGAGCTAACCATAGGAGTGAGCGAGAGGCAAATACGCGGCTAAAGCTTTTCGTCGGGTCTGTTTTTCAGCGCGGTACTCAGATGAGCTAAGGAAATACCAGAAAAAATACCAGATTTCTCGAGTGAATTTTCGATGAACGCCGTTAGCCGCGGCCCAAAGAATAAGAAATTTGATCTTTGGCTGTGTTGGTGCAGAAGCGGGTGGAAACCGAAATTCAAAAATGGAAAAAAAAACTCAAAAACCACGCCAAAAACGCCTTCAGGAGTTTACTTCTGAAGAAAAAGTGCGCTTAATACAAGCTGTGGAGGAGCGCCCAGTGTTGTGGGACTTGACCCACAAAAAGCATTTCCATGCTGTGTTTATAAAGAGAACCTGGGAGGAGATTGCGCTAGTCATGGACAAAGATTGTAGGTTATAATTTGGCATTATTAAATATTTGTGAACATAAGTGTATAAAATATACTTAATATACATAGATAATGGTTGCAAGCTGGCTTGGAAGTCCCTGCGGGACAGCCTTAAGTACCACAACAAGGTCAGGAAGCAGAAGAGTGGAAGTGCTGGAGGAGATCTAGTGGAGAAGCCCAGCGGAAAGGAGTGTGCCGAGTGGGAATTCGCTCCGTACATGGACTTCTTGCCGGACGTGTCTTCGCAAAGAAGGTAGGTTCTGGCCAAATGAATTTGGTTACGTTTTACTAATCATTTCAATTATAGCAGAACCACCAGTAGTGGGATCTTAGACGAGATCTCTATTGAAGACTGGACACTGGACTCCACCACCATCAGCTATTCTGCAGCTGAAGCGGAGCTGGAGGCCGTGCTAGAGGATGAGGTACCCGAGGAATTATATACCTACGTAAGTTGCTCTACTCGTGTTTGATTTTGTAACATTTATATGGTTTTACTTTTACTTTCATAGGGAGGAAGAAAACAGCCACCCCCAAAGAAGCGAAAGCTGAATGGTGATGGCTCACCAGCCGTGGCCATGTGTAACATGCTGGGGGAATTCCTTCAGCATCAGCGGGCCAACACCACTCTATCAAGGCCCATATTGACCTATTGGGACGGGGAGCTGAACGCCATGCGTCTGGAAGATGCTGCCAGGGTGGAGAAGAAGATGACACAGCTTCTGTGGGACGAAAAAGAATCCCTATATTACTAATTTAGATTAATAAAACATTTGTTGAACATTTCAATAATTTTTATTTTATTTTCTTCATACACCAGCAGACTCGACTTGCCAAGGTACTTGAGAATACCCAGCACTACCGTTTAGATATTCCATCAAGTTGCTTCGAACTTCCTTGCTGAAATCTTGGGGGCGACCTCGTCGGCAGGCTCGCAGGTCGACAAGCACGTTGCTCGGTACTTCGTGCAACGTGTAAGTTGTAGGATTTTTCCGCATCAAAAAATTATGCAGGGCACAACAGGCTGCTATAACTTTCTGAGACTTGCTCGGGTTACTCAGCAAAGTGCGTTGCACAGCCATCCACCGTGCACTAAAAATTCCAAATGCATTCTCAATGCAACGGCGAGCACGACTCAGCCTATAGTTGAAAATGCGCTCCTTTCGATGCAGGTCCTTTCCACTGTATGGCTTCATAATGCGCTTATGAAGGGGAAACGCATCATCGCCGATTATGAAGTAGGGAGTTCGGTTCCCGTTTATCACTTTGTCCTCTGGAAACGGCAGCTCATCCAGAAGTAGGCGTTTTCCAAGAGTACTGTGCGAAAAAGCGTTCAAAAAGCGCACCGGCTTCTATGTAAGTGAATCGGTAGTGAGCGTCGCAGATTGCCATAAGCACAATCGAATGAAATCCCTACATTAGAATAGATTTACTTATTAAATTTTCTTTGAAATTTAAAAGTACATACCTTATAATTGTAAAAAAGGCTTCCGCTATTAGTGGGGGCCTTTATCGCCACATGCTTCCCGTCGACGGCACCAAGACAGTTTGGAAAGTTCCATTCGTCTTCAAAGTCTTTCGCCCACCTCAGCATGTTATCGGTGGTCCACTTCGGAAATTCCCCTTGCAACGCAGTCCAAATTGCTGTGCAAACCTGGTCGAGGATGACACCGAAATGTTGCTTGCTGATCCGATAAGTGGATCCAACATGGCGTTGCAGATCTCCAGAAGCAAGAAATCTAACAAAGGAATATTAAATCACAATATTAAAATACAATAATGGTATCAAAGTCTAGACATATATGTATATATATTATATTTACTCCAAAACGATGGCCAACTTCGCTTTTAGCGGTATGGCATCTGGCCGGGTGTTCCTTTTGGGGATAAGGTGTTGCTCCACCAATCCAAAGAGTGCGTTGAAGCTGCTTTCCGGCATGTGAAAGTTCTCGAAGAACATGGATGGGGTGTTAACCAAGTTCTGAAACTTTAAAATAGAAGAAAATGCTCATAGGTGGAAGAGTATTTCTTTATTTTTCAACAATATTACTTACGTCTGAAGCATAGCGGCCTTTAAACGAGCGTTCCTTGAGATACGGGCTCACCCAATATTTCCGCCTCTGTGTCCTTTTTTCCGCCTCCTCCTGCTCTGCTGCGGCAATGCACATCGCCATGCCTACTGCAAAGGTAAAGCTTGAGTCCTTGGTCTTCCACATTTTGTAACTTTTAAATTTTCATTTTTTTTGATTTTTGTTTGTCAACAAACCCAGCTGATTGACGTAAGACCATGCTATTTGCTTTGCGGATGAACTCTGAAAACTTCGGTCACACTGCAAAGAATAAGATTTTTCGACTAGTGAAACTCTTAGCCGATCTGAGTACTAGGCTTTATGCTTCACTCGCTAGATCTGTTATTTTTTCTGGTATTTCCTTAGCTCATCTGAGTACCGCGGTAAAAAACAGACCCGACGAAAAGCTTTAGCCACGTGCTATCCTGTCGCTCACTCCTATGGTTAGCCCGCGGCTTTCGTCGATGTTAGTACTAGGCTTAAGGGAAAAATTCCTGTTGATAACCAGTTTTTGTATTTTATTTTCCCTCTTTTCTCAATTTGAGACGAATCTGTTTTTTTCAAGATTTTTATGTCATGCCGTTTTACCTGCAGGAACTATTTTCCATATTTTTACGGGTTCCTTTGTTACTTGGTATAGAAAATGAAAACGACAGTTGTGAGGAAAATCGGTGAAACTATTTCTTAAACATTCGTTTTAGTTTAAACATAGGAATGCGATTTCAGTTCGAGAATAACAAAATATGTTTGTAATATGATATTAGTTGTGGCCTTTGAATGAAATGTTTTAAACCTGTTAAAGCATAACAGTGAGTATTATAACAATGTGTATTTAAACAAATCTCATTATCCCCGTCAGCTGCAAAAGCATACAAGTATATGTATACACACACGTACGCATATCATGTTTTCATTATTCTTATTTTCATTAGTTTTCCAACTGGATTTGATTTATTCTCCCATTTTCTTAATTCAATTTAACGCCTTTTTAAAAATGCCTTTTAAATAGTACATGTGGCACTTTGTTAGTATGCGGTCGCACTTATGGCTATTTCCATATGCTAGAGAGAGAGAGAGAGAGAGACAGAAATATGTGGAGGCCATGACGTCTCAATGGACAAAGCGGAATAGGAAAAAATTGGGGTCTTGGATAGGGCAGCTTAATTTCCATAAAAAATTTATGCAGGTTTTTCCGGGTATGCCTTAAGATTATGAACAGGACATTTTAAAACCACTTTGGCAAACTGTATAACAGAAAAATGACAAAAGAAAATATGAAAAAACCAAATGGTGTCGCTTTTTATACCTTTTATACATTTGTCGAAAACGAAATCGGGCTCAGAACATCGCCTGCATATTACGCTCTCTCCCTGTCTCCTTTCTGCATCTCTCTGCACTGGACAGATCGCCGCTGGACCTATCGCTCTACTGCTATCGCATCCGTTCTCGCTGCTTGCTTCCTTATTAAGTATCAATTACTCTTCAACTGTTACTGAAATATCTCAACTTTGCTGAGCCAAGAAAAGCAAGTTTAGCGGCTTCCTCTCAGGTGAGAATTTCTTGATGTCCTGGCTGTGTAATAACTGGTCACATATTAAATATGGTGGTGGCGGTCATAACAGTAGAATCCGTGATATTGTTTGGAAACGCAGCCAATACTACTGGGCTTGTTCTTCATGCCAAAACATTACCTCAGAAATGAGAACTTTTATGATGCAAACGAGATCTGGGTTTCAAAAGGTTCGGTCTCAATTAAGTGTCCTCACTAAGATATATGGTTCCGCTGAATCTACATTTCTGGGCCTCACACTTCTAAGCGAATCCCCCAGACGAAAATTTCTTAATAATCAACTCAACGTTGATTTTATTGCCGACAATGCACCTCCCTCCGAACCTAGTACGCCGTTGAACACTTCCACTCCACTAGCAATATTTCTGAACCATTATTACTTAACGCCTCAAACAAAGATGACCCAGATACAGCTCTTAAAACTACTGCTAACGTTCCTGAAATTGCTGACTCCACTGGATTCATACCGAAGTAACCGATGCTGCTCATTGCACCTCTTTTTCCGCACCGCCGCCATTTACGGAAGTTTTACCTTGCCCCCCGTCTGGAACTGCTGGAGTACCAACGCTTCTGCAAATGTTCCGAATCTCGATGAGTTGCCGTTAATGTCTGTTGCTCACCAATCTGAACTACCATTGCGCTCAGTCAAACTTCGGAAAGCTATATTTGTGTCTCGCTTGTCACCTGGTACTACGCCGGGTGCCGTCAAAAGTCATCTGTGCTCCGCGTTAAATGCTACCCCTGATAATTATATTATAAAAAAATTTAATTTTAACCACGCGCGTAAAATTTTATTATTTAAGATTTTTCTACCAGACTGTTTCCTATCAGAAGCTTTGAATCTTTATGGCCTATTGACACTACTGTTCACGAATTTTTGCCTGTAGACTCGAACCAGACTCCCAATATTACCGTTTCAAAAATCGGCCTAAATCAATACTTTTAATATTCGGTCCTTAAATTGATTAAGAGAACTGTTTCGTTCGCGTCGCTGGTGATTTTATTCTATGTCTGTGCAAATTCTAAGTAAATCCATTTAAGATTTGAATCTTGGTTGCGGATTAGCATGAGGATTGGCCTGTTGGCGCTCTTGCGCCTTCGGAAATAGTTTTTTGTCCCTATCCTCCCGGCTTCTTGAAACAGATGATGCAATCTTTCATGGTTGGACTCCACTTCTTGAGCCAATGCAAGTGCTGATGGCATGTCCTTCGGCTTTGCCGAGAAGAGGACGTCGGTGAGACTGCGTTTTAGTCCGGAATATTTCGCATAAAACTTGTGCCACCGAGGCTTCATATGACATAGTTCCCTTATTAGTGAGGAGGGTAAGCTTCCTTTCCACCTCGTCGTAATACTGTAGAAGCGAAAGATTTCCCTATCTGAGGGTACCCATCTCCTGCTATGACGTGCATTGTTCGCTTTTCACTGTATGTGAAATCGAGTCGATTTAAATTCGCATCGAAGTTCAACACGGTGCCAAATGAAGATAGTACGGCATCGGCAGGGCCTCTAATCTTACTCCTAATAATAATAACCGCCTGATAATGGCGTGACCTACCCTCGAAGTTCTTAAAATGTAATACGCGCCTTCTGCTGCTTGCCGCCAGGAGACGTATGTCTCCTCGGTTCCCGCAAATTCGGGCAGGCACTTGACAGCGTCTACACAGAGAAAATTATGACGTACTCAAATTGAGAATACATGTACTCAATTTAAGTACAAAATTTGTGGAAAAAACTCATGTTGAGAAAAGCTGCACTTAATTTAAGAAAAAGGACTTGAATTGATGCAGATCTAGAAAAGATTCCTGTATGCTTAAAGCGACCTTGTCCTGTTCTCCGCAATCCATTTCTCCTACAGACGAAGGCAGCATTTCTGATTGCTTTTTTTCAACCATCTGCTTTATGATTTCATCAGTGACATTTTTTAAGTGAAGAGGCATATCGAAATACATTTTTTTAAATCGAGGATCAAGCTATGTGGCTTTCATGAGTATGTTATTCTGCAGCAAACCACTCAATCGCTTTTGTGATATTTGTAGAAGGGTATATTTTGTTAGAATGCCCTCAGCGGTATCCATATTAGCTTTTTTTAATTTTGTATTAATCATAGAAATCATAGGAATCACTAAGCTGACGGTCAAGTAAGAGTCGCCGCTGACATTATCAGTGGCTTCTTTAAAAGGTTGGAGAACATGCCAAAAATCGCGACAAATATTAAGCTCCTCCACTGAGAGCATTTCTGTGTGCAAAAAATATCGCGATGATAATATTTTTTTGAAGAGAAAAAATATCGATGTATCGATATTTTGATATATTTCCGACATCCCTACTCTATATCCAGGAAGGCGATCAGTGTGTATTCCTTGATGCTGAGTGATTTCTCAATGCTGCTTACCACCAAGTGTAGCGCCGATTCGGTTGACTTACCTTTGGTGTAAGCGTGCTGTGCTTCTGATATTTGTGTCGGGTCTACGGTGGCCCTTATGTGTAGGCTTATCATTCTTTCAAAGCTCTTAAGTAGGAATGATGTTAGGCTTATTGGCCTAAAATTCTTTGCTGTGGTGTGAGTGGCCTTCCCTGCCTTGGGAATGAAAATCACCTTCGTTTCTTGCCACGCTGTTGGTAGTTCTCCTACCGCCAGGATGGATTGGAAGATTTTTTCAACCAGTTTATGGCTATTTGTCCTGCTTGTTGTATTTGAACCGGTGTTATCCCGTCCAGTCCCGGCGATTTGTATGGTTTGAAACTATGAATGGACCATTTCATGTTGCGGTCTGATAGGAGTGGATCTATTTCGATTCCCCCTCCTGGTCCCCTTTCAGGAGAATGACCTGCTTGTTGGCTCCCCAGGAAGTGAGCGTCTAGGAGCATGTCCAAGGACTCTTTACTGGAGTCTGACCATGATCCATTTGCTTTTTAAAGATAGCCCAAAGGCGCGGCTGACTTAGAGAGTATTTTCCTGAGCCTTGCGGCATCAGTTGTTCTTTCTATGTCAGAGCAGAAGGTCTGCCATGCCGTTCGTTTTGCTCTTCTAATGGCCTTTTTGTAGGAGGCTAGTTCATACTTGTAGTTCAGCCAATTAGTGTCCTCATTTCCCGCCTTTGCTCTGTTAAACAGGCATCTGCCGTTGGTTCTGAGGATTGATAGTTGTTTGGTCCACCAGGGTGGTTTTTTCCTTCCCCTTGGTTTCCCTGTGGGGCATGCCACTTTGAACGCAGTGTTGCATGCCTCTGTGCATTTATATACTGTTCCGTCCAGCTCCTGTGGGTTTGTGATGTGTTCTGACGGTTCCATGGGGAGGATATTCGTCAGAACTTCTTTGTACCTGTGCCAGTCGGCTCGTCTGGGGTTAGCGAAATTGGCCGGCAAGGGCGAATCAAGGGACAATACAGTTTCTATAAATCTATGGTCCGAAAAGGAGTGCTCGTCAGAGACTGCCCAGTTTTGACTGCGCTTACGAGTGAATCTGATACCAAAGTTAGATCTATGATCGTTTGGCAAGCTTTAGTTATGAAAGTAGGTACATTGCCCCTATTGCAAAAGAATAGGTTCGAATTTAGAATAAAATCAAAAAGAGACTCACTCTGTCGTTGTTGGCGAAGCAGAAGTGCAGCAGATGCTGCTATACTGTGGTGAAGGTTTATTTGTGGAAGTCTTTGTGACATCTACAGCTTCAATTTCCACCTCTGTGTCGCTAAGGTCTACGTCCTCGATGGCCGGACTTTATGATGGCAGAACGATCGCGTCGCGGCAATGGTAACGATGGTTACTGCGATCCCGGACCACAGGCGATGCTGGAGCTGCGCTGAGGGTGAGCTAACGTGGTTAGCTGCTAGTTGAGATAGTGTATTACGAGCCCTATTCCCAGATGTAGGAAGTAGAACCGCGGAGTTATGAGGTGTGTTGATAACTGATTTACTCTTCATTTGGTACATGTTTATATACTACTTGGACCACGGAAGTTTAGTGTAATGATTAGTGAAGTAGGCTATATTCTAAAGTAGGTCAGGGAATTATGATTATGGTAGCAGTTTGCGTAGTTGGCTTTGCGTAGTTGGCTGACACTGAAAAATGTGCTGACTGCATTGGCGGGTTGCCGTTGAGTTGGTGAGACGGTGAGTTAGTGAGACATATAATATGCTGATCAGCAATTCTCATATGCAGTGGGTGCTACTGAGCGCCTGGTACTGTTCCCAACTTGGCAACTGTTTGATTTGTTGGGTGTGGTCATGTTGAGTACCTTTGGTATGAACATTCTCCCCCCCATTGAGGGGTACCCTCAATTAAGTCGTGATGTCGGTCAGCCCTTGATCGAATAAAGGAAGCACCTAACAAATCATTGACCAAGGTGGATCTTTCCTTCGACTGCGGTTCATGTTTGTGATTCAGGTCCTTCATTTCATCTTGATGCTGCTTAACACTTCCCTCTGCGATAAAATTGACATTACCGTGGGGACTGAAATTGTTCCCTCGTAGAACTTGATCATTTGGCACGTCTATGGTATGTGGACGTTTTGCAACAAAACTAAGATATTTCTTGGTTAAGTTTAGAACAGTTGAACCCAAGTCAGCCTTCTTGTAGGTTTTAAATTGATGAGAAGTCGGTTCTATATTCATCGGACTTTTATCTTTCGTTGGCTCATAAGCAGCGTTCGGACCTGCAAAATCACCTCTGCCATCTACCAGAATAGGGTTGATTTCCGTATCAGATGAGGCTTCTTTATTGAGATAACCTGTGATTACATAACCAAGCCTAGTGCCTTGTGCCAACGGTTTATTAGGTCCTAGTTCAATTAGTTCACCAATTATTACACGAGAATACACCTCAACCCCTAAGGTTAGGTCAATGGGTCCAGGTTGCCGAAAGTCAGGATCTGCTAACGGCAGTCCCTCGGGAATATTAAGATCAGTATCAATTGGTACTGACGGTTGGTCTGTAATGACTGTGGGAATAATAAATACCTCTAATAGTCTTTCAAACCCTGATGTAACTGATGAGAGCTTTAGTGTTGATCTAATTGCTGTTGATATTTTTCCTCCGATTCCAGATATTTTAATCGGTGACCTTTCCTTAAGAGACAGCAGATCTGCCATTCTCCTTGAGATAAGATTCACTTGTGATCCACCATCTATTACAGCGCGACATGTTTGTAATTGACCGTTTGGCCCTTGTAATGAGACCTTGGCGGTCGCGAGCGGAGAATATCCTCCTACGTCGTCGTAGCCTGCAATGGTTACTGCGCCGGCCACTGGATTGCTAGTCGGTCCTTGGTGTAACAGTGAACGATGCCGTTGCTGGCAGACTCGACAAGTGGTCGGTGATCCGCAGTTTTCAACCTTATGAGCTGTAGACAAACAATTTGTGCATGCCCTTACTTGAATAATGGCTTGGCGCCGTGCTTTGGGGTCCATTTGCTGGATTCGGCTACATGCTCTAAGATTATGTTGT